AGCCGGCTGGAACAGCGTTCGAGGCAGAAATGCGACTGAATGTTACGCGGAGCTTGTGGAAGCTGTGACTACTTTGAAGGTTGCTAGTCTTAATGTAAGAATTCTGATTTAACTTACATTGAATTTTTAATCACAATTGAATTTTTTGAGGATTAAAGAATGAAAAAACGATCATTCCGTAATGTGCCTTTTTCTTGCCTACTATACCTACACTCACCTGATCTGACTACGCCAATCTGAGGAGTATGTTGTGCCGTTTTATATTATATTTTGAACTCTCTTCAATATAACGTGTTTGACCCTAAAAAATTGGTTGCCGTGACTTTTGAAGTAACCCTCGTATAATAGTGGCAGAATATGGAACACCAGTGTTTTCCGATGAATTAGTATTTGTGGTTGTTACCTCGCAATGACTTGAACATTGTGCTGTTTCAGAGGTTATGTAGGTCAACTTCATTTCATGAGTGATTACTATTTTAGAAATGGATTTTCATCTGATTATGTGGTTAGATGCTAGGAATATAAATTTAAGCATTTATTATTCTGTATTAATTATTAAATAGGATAAGTAAACAATTTTTACCAATCATCTCTGCCATGGGCATAACACCGCCATACTCTTTTGGCATAATTTTTGGATCCAGAATTTTTAGAGCATCTTCTATGCAGGTGTAAATCTAGAGGCAAAAAAAAGAATGGTTAATTTATTAGGTAATTTTAAGACTTGTGTTATAATAACATGTTTTACTATTGTTAACTTTCTTATTTTAAAAAAATATAGATTCAGAATTTTAAATTTTTAACTTAATTTCAAACTTCATAATATAACACATTTAAAATATCAGTTCATAATGGAAGGAATGATCACACTCTAAATTGGTATGTGGATGTACACACACACAAGTGAACTGGGATTGAAGGTATCCTCCTTTAAGTCACATGGATTCAAATCTTTATTTTATATAGAAGTCTGTGCTGCGGTTGGAGCTAATTTTTTTGTCAGAAAATTTTAAATTACATGCGTATATTTTTCATGTTAAAATGTCCTCAGTAATTTATTTCTAAACCTGGTGATGAAATAAGTAGTGTGGATATAAATTTAAACCATTATGTAGGTTTTTTTGCTGCTTCACTGTAAGGTACAAATACATACTTGTAGTAATTATACTTGAGTAAACTCAACCATTCATTCTTCTCTTATGATAAAAATTAATATTGTAAGAAAGTAGATTACCTTGATACGTTTCCTATACTTCTCTGGGATGAGTGAAAAACCGAAGTCAACAGCAAACTTAAGGGATGGATGAACATTAATGCCATGTCCCTCCTTATGACGCATTGGTAGTGTTCGCTGAAGGAATACAATGAGAGGTAGCATGAAATTGCACAGTGAGTAAATGAAAATATAGCAGTTTTATTTGATGACAGATTTGTAATTTATTTTCTAGATTCTTTTACCCAAGAGTCTCAAAATAATTTGTCAGCAGCTGTAGCGTGATAGAGGACGAGAAGTAATTTGTCCTTCGGGAGAAAGTATGGCAAACACAGCATTGATTTAAGTGAATCACTTAATTTTTTATTATTATGGTCTTGGAGTTCACACTTTGAAGCTCTGTAGCCCAAAAATCAAGGAGTCTTGCAGTTAGTTTTATTGCAGAAACTCACCTCTCCATTCTTAACGATTCGTGCAGCCTCTTTAGGTGTGAAGAGAGTGAGGTAATGAAACCCGACTCCAGCCCCATCTGCGAAGTGTATGTAGCCATGTATTTGGTTCATCTCATCCTCCATTAGGGTCTCGTAAGTGATACCATGTACGCGCAGCATATCTGCATTGGTGTATTTGTAGGGGTCAAATACCGCTACAGGAGTGTACAAGAGACAAAAGATTACAATGTATTATTTTTATACATGATATTTTTATTTTTAATACTCGTTTCAGTATAGTACAGTTAAACTTGTAGATTTCTTGATTGAAAATGGCTGGTTGTGTCTTTTTGAACCATGAAAAACCTACCATAAAGTCATTCACCTGTTTAGTTTGAAACTCGGTTATGCAACTGATTTCCAGCATACAATTTTATGTAAGACTTTTGTGTTGTAAAAGAAACTTGGGAAAAAGAATAAGTTCTGTGTGGAAAGACGACAGAGAGGAAAATACAGAAGGAATAAAAGAGAACCGTAAAGACATTGTAGGACGAAAGTTATGGAAAATTATTTTGGAAATATTCTTGTCCAGCATATTTCTTGTTTTGCATATTAAATCAGTGTATTGAATTGACATTAATGAACATACTGCACTACCTTTTATCGTGAATACTGTCTTCTGTTCGCCATTTTAAAATGTGTGAGTTGCATTTCTTTTAACTTGGTTGTGTCAGAGCAGAGTTTGTCATGTATTTGTTCAAACACCTGAAAATTGTTCTGTGGCCTTCTACTCAAATTGGTACTCACATGCAATTCCTATAATCAGTCGACGTCCAAGATGATCCCTCTGGGGCACAGGGAACAGGTAACTGTAACAATAAATTAATGGTAGTTCCCATATCTCAGTGTGTGTTATAGTATCTTGCCTCATGCGATATTTTCAATGCCAATTTCATGGACAAGTTGAATGGAACAATCTGGTATCAATCCTGGAGCTTTCTACTCACAGGTAGAGACGTAACCCAGATATGAAGGGAAGTTTAAGAATATTTTATGGAGATGGCTCTCATCCATTTGTTACATTATTAATGATACACCCAATAAAAGAACTCTGAAATACAAGTGTAAATTTCAGTGGTACTTCTGATTGCTTAGCCTGCAGTTTTGCTTGATGAATCCTTCTCAATTTTTGTACAGGAATTGTGGAATGAAATCCTTTAAGAATTTTGTGTTACGCTTGGTTTTTGTTGGAAATTTCTGATAAATTTTAATAAACATGCATTTATTCATATTGCTAAGCATAACAAGTAAGGATGTGGAAGAAACTATTTTGTCCTAATTTTAGTCACTGCCCTGACATTTGCCTAAATGGAATGAGGACATGGTCTTTGACAGTGTGTCAGCTTGTTAATGCCGGTGCTTGACATTATTTTGTAATGTGGTGAAGATATACCCATTAGAAATAAGCTCATTCATTGTGTGGTCTGTGTAGTCAAGAGTTCTGAAAGCAGGTGCAAAAGCTTGTCTCAGAAGCAGGTAACGCTCCAGGGCTTCTTGTGCCAGCATGACACTGAACTTCTTTGTTCGCAGGAATCGCAGTAAGAAACGAGCATCTGAAACAAATTATAATTAATTAATAAGCTATTCACATATTCCATTCCTTCAGAATGTGTTGCTGTGTCTTGGAATAATTAAGGACAGTAGGATTTCAGGTTCTGACGGCAGGTACGAAATCAGCCGTCTTCTAGGTCGTAGTGCCATTCAGAGAAGCTTGCTACCTTCGGCATCGGGCCTCATCACCCTGATGACGGAGGCAGCAAGGACATCATATTTAGTGACAGTTTTTTGGATGTACCAATATAATAACTAGACTACAGGCTGGACATCTGGGGTTTGATTTCTGGTAGGGCCAGATTTTCCAGCCTTGTGTCCACTCGGTATCAGGGTTCTTTAGTGGGGTTTAGTGTGTGTAGGTAACCATTCACCTCCATTTAGTGCCTAAGTGCACGTGAAGCTATATTTCACTCCCCCATATGTCTGCATGGCATGGCCCTTAAACGAAGCGCCATGGACAACTTTACCTTGTCTTTAATTTTATAAATATGCCATATACAAATCACGTTCAAGTTTGAACATTATCACCTTTTATCTTGTAAAAAGTTCTTCATAGAAATATTCTTGAATGAGAAGTAGTTCTCGTCTTAGGTGGCAGGTTTCAGAGATATTAACATTTGTTTTCTCAAACAGTTGTCCTCGTGAACCACTAAACGAGTAATCCGTGGATCATACTTACCAAGACGACAGTTGGCAATTCTCGGGTTCTTTCTGATCCAGTCCCTCATCTGCTCGAGGGACTCATCTCTGGCATGTTTTGTTTCTCGAAGTTCCTCGAAGGCCATCAGCTGTGTCTCTTGAGGTAACTTGCACTCGTACTTGTCTGGGCCGTTTACCCACTGTGGCATTTTTCTGTTCTGTAACACATGGAACAACCAATTGGTCACATCCTTTTGTGTAAAATGAATTAAGAAATCAAGCATTATTTATTATCAGTATTGAAGATTATTGAAGACTGATAAATCATTGCTTTTTTTACTTTGAAACGTGAAATTCATTTAAAAATTCAGTTCCTACCGCAAAGAAAAGTGTTTCTATCACAAATATGAATTGGTTGATGCTGTTTTTAAAACTAATCGCTTTACGTTTTGAGAATTACATGAAACTCACTTTATGGGTATAATGAAGAGTTGTTAAATGTTGAAAGTGGTACATCCAGAAGTCAGTGAAGTTTATTTAGGATTGCGTTTCTTGGCATTCATTGAGGTTGGTCTGAGCTGTTGTCTGCTTTGATATAAGTGGGTTATTTAGATTCCTTGACAGGGCTCTTCCGTCGCTGGCCAATGAGGAAATCCTTGGATAAATACCCGTGCCTCTGGCTATATTTTGACCCGGGATACAGGTGTAGGAGGCCATGATCTGTTCAAATGCAGACTTCCCACGATTATTAGCTGTTGCATGATATTCAGTCGAAAAACAAGATTTAGGATCGCATTCTATTTTGTAATTTGTGTAAAAATGTGCACTTCGGGAATTACGAATACATAATGTCTGTGGGATTTTTCGGTGGCATCGCGTACCGTAAATTCTGTTAAGAAACTTCTGTCATGGTTTTGATTAAATCTAAGATCCCTTGGCCTGATATGTCAGAGGTGCCAAAATGCTAACATAGTACCGAGAAGCTTTGTTTCTTGAAACATCGGTATTTCACGCCGTTGAAGTGTGAAATTAGTTGCGATAATTTCATTTTTCCCTTCTCAGTTTTACCTAACGAACAGTTTTTCTCTGTTATTCTTAACGGTTTCCGTTCTTCTCCGCCATAATTCAAAGTGTAGCGCGATTAGATGTCATTACGTCAACGTGCTTGTAGATGGCGTGCAGTTCGACTGAGATTTACTCCTAATTTCACTTTCAGACGGTTGTACATCCTGACTGCACGCTGATTCTTACAAATTATCTTCAAGTGAGTCTTTATATACTTTCTAATGGCTTTTATTTCCTGTTAGTAGCTACATTATAACGCAGTTTTTCCTAAAAAAAAAATTGTAGGCTTACAATGTCTATGCAAGCATTTGAAAGACAAATTTTCCCCGGAAGAAACAGTGCGTTCCATTAAAATAAATATTCTTATGATTTCTTGTCATTTCTTACTGGGTTTGTGTAGGCAGTTGATAATGGACTTTAAACCGGTTGTGGTGTCTTTTGTTATATATCAACATTTCTGTGAAGAAACCAGTAAAAATAAAGTCCATAGGAATATGCTTATGTCTGGTTGCCTCTCGATGCCCTAAGAACGGGACTAAAGCTTATCATTGAAGTTCTTATTATCGGAATCAGTTTTCTCACGGCCGGCCAGCTCAGATTCCATTAAATATACGCCATTCTTTATCGAATTTCACAATGCAGTTATAACATTACCCGCCTTAATCTCAGATATCGACTGTTCTGACAGGTTTTCGTGGTTTTACTCAGTCCCTCCGGTAATTCCTTCCGCATGCTCTTCATTTCATTGTTAATTAATCTTCTATCATTCACACGTTTTTCGTATAATCTTAGCTGTGGCGTCTTAAAATTAACCACAAATGTAAAAAAAAATCACTTCATGGAATTGCTGTGCTCACAAGAATTTTAATTTTTTTTGGATTACTGTCGTTTTGAAGTGTATTTGCGGTAGAAAACGTATTCTCTCTCTTGTACGTTCCATTTCTCGCATGTGTACTTTTTAAGTTTTGTTTATTTTTCTAATTTCTCCTCACTGATTGAATGAAATTGTAGAGCGGAGTGGCTGAATTAGCATTATTTCCAGGTGGTGGTACTCGTAACTAGCTGTTTCAGTTCCCATGTTGGTAATGTGTTTTGATTACGTCATCCGTATGCTAGTATCGTAAGCGGAAGGTTTGCTGTCTTCGAGCCCCTCTCCCAGATACAAACACTGATCTATGCGAACCAATTTCATTTTTTTAATTTTTGTTTGTTATTGTGGATCACGCAGAGGGCGTACGAACTAGAGAAATCGTTGTGGTATTGGACGAAAATGTTCCATCAGAGAAAGTAGAGTGAAAGTGAAATGATGACGTAATATTAGTCTATGAAGCACACTGAGGAAGCCGATGTGCGTCACGACTTACTTAATATCTCGATCGGTGTCTGTTGGGTTTTGACACATTGTGGTCATGCAAGTATTTATCGACGTTTCGGAGGAACTTACCGTGAATATTTTGTTACCTCGATTAATATCTGCTGTTGTGACATTGTCATAACGTACGTATTAATTATTCGGTATTAAATTTGCAGTGATCTGTTCTGACGTGTATAAATGGTAAAAATTTCTTTTTTCGAGCCCAAGTTCTGCATCAGATGGGGGGTGATCGGTTAGGATCACGCTTCGGGCTTTTTACACCCCCGAGAAGTTCATCTCATGGGAGAATTTGTGGGCCCCTGAGTCCGTGTCGACGATGCTGTCAGAAGGAACATACCAGTTTCACGAGTAATAAAACCCGGGCGTCAGAAGGAACATACCAGTTTCACGAGAAATATAACCCGGGATAACGTACGAACACAAGAGCTATGAGACCTTGCAAATTGAGGCGACATGTTCCTCCGGAGCTTTGGTAATCAATAAAATCAGCCCTGCTGCTAGTAAAACTTGTTTTAGAACCATCAACGGGCGGTTAAATTGCAAAATATCCTACACAGTTGTCAGATTTACATGTGATTTCCTCACGAACCGGTTTTACTCCTAACGAGACGAATGATGTAACCAACTGTATGCGGAAATGCAAACGTATCTGTTACATGAAAAGCTGGAGGCTGAAGTTGTAATGGTTGGCAGTGACTGGTTATTTAATAGTTTGTAACACTGCAAAATGGACTGAGGTCAAATTTATGTAATAATTCTGTTAACGAGTCTTCGTCTATGTCTTGCCGCGCACAGATACTGTTTGCTATAAAAGGCTTTGTAAAGTAGTGGTTTTATTTGAAATGGTACGTTAAAAATTAAGCATCAACGACTAAATCCAAACATTGCGTAACTTATAATAACGCGCCAATCAAATACGTAACAGACAAGGAGCTCTGAAGAACTCGTGAATTTTCTATTGCACAGAGTTCTGGTCCTGCAGATCTGGTGTTGCTGATGTTATGTTTTATTGTTTAAAGTTTTTTTCTCCAAAAATAGTACGCAGTTTAGTTATTGGTTCGTGCGTAGATGGTCATAAGATCGAATCGCACTCCGATAACTTTTTATTATTTATTGAATATCTGAATATGTTATATAAATTATTATTATTAACGTCTTAAGTACAGATTCTTTCCACATGACATTTATAGTATATAGGTTAATACCGACATTTCGCACATTCGCCATGTTTATGAATATTTACTTATAAACAATAGTCATATATTGTTTGTAGGTACCATACGCTTATGATCTGTGTAACATGCAGAATTTGACGTAAGTAGCTCCACTCTTATAACAGTTATGTCTATCAGGCTATAAACGAAATACATTTTTTTAAAACGATCGCCATGTTTTACATTTTATGGAAATGCCTTATTGAAAATTTCAGATTTTTTTCGAATAATTGTTCCCAGCTCCGAGAGCCAGTCATGCAACTCGTAATATCAGCCTTGATGGTGGTGACAGTTTCCGATACTTGATATAACACGCGCTGAACAAACGCCATGGTAATTTCCCAGTTGTTAGGTTATACGGCGAGACCCACATTTTAAATCGTAACGGCACCCAACAGTTCCTCTTGAAACGCGGTATAAGCTTAGTAGTAACAACCCCTTACTGTAGCAGAAACTTCTTTGACACGCCTGTAATGCGTGCAGTCTACATCCTGTGTTCGCAGAATGTTATCTTCTCTTTTGGATCGCATTTCGACAGATTTCAGCCAGAGATATTTATGATGAACATTGTCATCTTTTATTTATATTTAACGTCACGTAAACTAACATTTCTAGAGGAAAAAAAATGTACTGCGAATTTATAATATTTATGTACATGTGCTGAGGACGAAAATTGTTGTCTTGAACATGATGTGGCCTTTGGCTGAGATAAGAAGGCGTTAGTGTTTTATTGTGATGTGGAATTCGTGTGAGTTAGTGAAGCCCACGCAGATTCCTTTGCAGCATGCAGGAGAAGTGGGTTAGCGTGGTTTAAAGTTTGTAATTAGAAGGTGGGTGGGATGAAGAGATGATTTGTGACGTCGTCTGTGTAGAGGAGTGTTATGCAACCGGTGTGCCGCGAATTTTTATAAGAAATTGCATATTCGCACGTTAGAATTAGAAGGCAATTTTCATCTGTCATCGTTAATAGTTCTTTCCATCATATGTATGCAGATGCATATTTATGGTCATGTATAGTTTTGTACCCTATTTTTAGTGATGCGAAATACTGTGGTGTGCCGTCATGCGTCTGAAAGTTAGGGCGTACCACAGGTGAAAAAAAGTTTGGTAACGGTGAAACAGAGGGGAAGAGAATGTTGCTATATATTGTATTAAAATATTTCGTGACCAGGAAGTAGAGAGAACAATTTTGTGGTAGTGAATGACTTATTATTTACGATAATGTAGCTTATAAGCTAATGATAAGCTGTACTAATATTGTAGAATTAAGGAATATAGAACAGTACTTGTATAAAGCTTGATGTAAATAAAATAAGAAGACTGAAATGACAAAAAGTGAGATTTGGTAAGGGTGGGGTAGCCTTCTAGTTATGAGAATAAAGTATTTAGCAAGAGATGGCGCCATTGGACTGAGGTCAGCAAAAACCCGGTGTTAGACGGGGATAACTCTTTTGTATAAATAACTCGACAAATGAATATATTCAGGAAAAAATTAAACTTAAGACAGGAAATATCAGTGGCCCTTCTAATATATCGCTTTCATGGTAATAGCATTCCATTGGGTAGTGAGATATTTCGGTCTAAAATACAATACGTTCCAAATTTACCTTTCGACATTCAGTCAAAAGCCATTTGCTAGAGTGAGGTAGCAAGTTTCTGTGACAGGTGTTACATACGTATGTACGTCTGTTGTGGTAATATGGTTAGCCTCCAACCTGTTTTCAAACTCCTGTAAAACTATATAACATATTCACAGTTGCGGATACAGCGAAGTCCCTGGCTGGATTTAGAATTGTTGCTCTGAGGTCGTATCATCCGTGTGAAATTCATTTTGTCACTACTACCAAAGTAACCTTTCAGAGATGTGTAATGGTCCAGGTCTTTTTTAAACGTTGTGTAACAAATTAATTGACTTTTGGCTTTATATTTATTTTCCACCCACACTTTTAATAAAAAAAATGTTACCATCACATACGCGTTTCAGCATATTCATGACATAATCAGCGCTTAATCTCGCTGTAAAAGGGAAAATTATCATCGTCACTGACAACCCGGTGAGATTGAAGCCAATCATCAAGCTTCTGATTATTAAAAAAGTACTTTTGATTCGTTACCTAATATGTAAGGCTGGAATTAGTTGTCAAAGCGATCCCCACGCGTGAAACTCGATACAGTTTGCAGTTTTGCAGAAAGTTCTATTTGACAATACGATTGTGCGTGGGCACTGGCTTTCGTTGTCCTAATCGTCTCTGATATAATCGCTTTACAGTTATGTGGCGAAGATACGTAATATTTAAAATTGTTTTTGGGGTGTTGGTGAACGTGCGTACTGGTTTTTGTAGTAGGTCTTTGTGACGTCACGTCTTGTTGTTATTAATCGTCCTAACACACTTATGTTGAGAGCTCTATAGCCGTAGCTTTGACATCTTAATAGTACGTGCTTCGCGTTTACGTAATGTTAAGCAGACAAACGTTCCACTCTATGAAAGTATTCAAAAAGGTCACGCATAGAATGAGGTCGTCTGAAGAATGTGCAGTGCTGTAGGCGATATGAAAATTTCTCATCTTTATCTATTCGATATCCCGATTGAAGATTTACTTTATAGTTCTAATGAATATTAAAATATAACAGTTCAGGTTTCGATTCCGGATAGAGATTTGAATTTCTCAGATTTATTATGACAAGAAGACCTCTGGGCCCTACATGCGTCTTAGACATACGTATCAGTGAATTTGTTCTTCTCAGAGTAAAAGTGGCTGGAGCGTGAAGCTGACCATTTATCTTCATTCCGTACCGAGGTTAATGTTTAGAATTTTACCTGCGCCTTTCAACTCTCCTTATACGCTTTAACGACGTGTGATAAGACACTATTTACTCTACCTGTAGCCCACTATTTGTGTATTTAGTGATCAATTTTCTCAATTATTTATTTTGAACATGAATGATATTTTATTATCTTAATTATAAGAAATTTTAAATATTGTGATCAGACGGATTAAAATAAATAATTATTATAATATTCACAATATGACGCAATTACACTATCTGATCAATTTTCTGATTAATTAGTCACTTGTGATGATTAATCGGATGAAAATATTACTCTTTGAAGTAGAAATAGTTCACACAAAAAATTGTATTGGTTTCGATTAGCAATCCGATTCGACACTTGGTCCGCTTTGAATATCGATTCACATATTCTTAGAGGGCTGTTACCGCGTTGTATCAAAGCTGCCTGGAGAGAAATGTGTTACGAAGCTCCAACGCACTTGCAGTAACACTATTGCACGTCGGTAAACAACAGTATCTGTAGTACTTCCGTGGCAGCACGTGTTTACAGAATTATTTTTAGTGTTCGTACTGTTTGTTGTTACAAGATTTACAGAATTATCTTCGCACTGTTTATATTGTGAAGGGATCAAACAAGAATTGTATACAATATTTTCATTGGAAACCTCCATCGAAAGCGATAACTTAATAAATCGAGATATATCTACCAAATAAGTTGTGATTTTATTTAATTATAAATATTCTTGTTTACAAGAACGATTAACAATAACTGTGTTGCACCTTGTGAATTTTATTTTATTTTCTTATATATAGCACTATAGCTCAGGCGACTAGAGTCGAACTTCTCATCATGGAAACCCGAGTTTAATTAAGGATTACTTCAAGCCAGATTTTAGGTGGACGAAATGACAGTTTAGCGTGTTTTTATCTCACAGTCCTCTGCTAATAATCATTACTCCATTGCTTAATACTCATCGCTGACCGAACTATGGGGTTTACGATAGCCTTGACCAAGGAACACATTATCACTCCCTCGATACTAAATTTGAGTCTTCATCTCTGACCGGACACTTGGCTTTTAAAATTTACGTTTGATACAAAGCCGTGCTGTTAATTATGGATCTTTCTGTCCGCTTTTACTTTTCAGAGGATCGTAATCTATTCTGGTAACACGTTCTTCAATCATTGACCTACGTTCTGAACGTCTTATAGCCGGATCCCTTAGACTCGTACTTACCTTACGTGCTACTTTGCTGTTAGTATGACAACGGCCTGTTGGCTGGGTGAGTGTAGTCTGGGTCAGTCTCAGATGGAATGCTGGTAACGGTGTTTGTGATTCAACAACTCACTTCTTTTCTTCGGTATCACCACGCCTCAAGGGGCCGGTCCATTGCAGTGAATACATTCTCCATTGGTCCTCACTTTCCCTTAATTCTGCGGGGTAAAATAATTTCTGTGGCAAGGAAAAGTCAGTAAAAGAAAACAAGAGAATAAAGGTTATGTCATATCATCTCAACGTGCAAGGCTTTTTGACATCAACCACAAGGTTTAAATTACGTAATTATGAATTGTAAGACATCGGTTGTTTTTACCATCAGTTTAGTACTAAAGTAAACTGGTAAGTCCCTCGTTTGACTCCAGGAACTGGCTTTTGTGAATGAAATATTTTTATTTTGGACGCTGTCTAAACAGTACTAGAATAATTAAGATGGTGTGGAAAAACAAACGTAATGAAACATCACCAAAATACTACAGAAATCATAATTGAGTTTTAAGTTCTTAGATATATTTTACACCTGATGATGGTTTTATAAAAACCGAAACATGTTGTGTAAATGTTCCGAAATGTAAATCGATCAATCGATATGGAACATCAATTATATTTTATTATCTTAATTATAAGAAAATTTTAAATATTGTGATCAGACGGATTAAAATAAATAATTGTTAGAATAATTAACTAAATTAACCAACTAACCAATTAATATTCTCGTCCATTCATTCAGATTCTGCCTGATATTAGTACCCATATATTTTCACTGGACTCTAATTGTGATCCAATTTACTCGAATCAACATCGTACCACTCTGTTCGAAAAATAACCCATAACCGTTACGAGCCAAGATTATCACAGAATTATTGGTTGTTAAAAGGTTAAATTCTTCTAAAACGCAATTTCATTAATAGTTTTTTTTTATATGCGTTTCTCATACAATCCGGTGTAGACTGTGTGCGGGGTTTGAAAATACAGATTCTGGTCTTCGACATTATGTCGCCGTTGGAAGTTTTATGTCTTCTGAAGAATCTGTCGCTTACGTCTACAGGATAATCTGTAAATAGTTTCCGACCAGTTCATCATCTGTCGAAATATATTTTTTTAAATGTGTCTTAGGCATTTATAATTTAGTCTGGTAGTCCATTTTCTCATATTTATACCAGAATGGAAAAGATCGGTTTTAGTACTGAATGTGGGTACAACATTTCAACAAAACCAATTTGTAAAGAGTCATATTATTATACAAAAGATGAGTATGAAGATTTCTGTCTTCTGGGTTGTTGCGCTGTGTAGTCTGGTCGATGTTAACCAACGTTTCGGAGGTCATACTGCCTCCGTCATCAGGGCGATGAGTATGAAGATTTCTGTCTTCTGGGTTGTTGCCCTGTGTAGTCTGGCCGATGTTAACCAACGTTTCAGAGGTCATACTGCCCTGATGACGGAGGCAGTATGACCTCTGAAACGTTGGTAAACATCGACCAGACTACACAGCGCAGTTACCCAGAAGACAGAAATCTTCATACTCACCGCTGTGAGAACCTCAAGTCTTACAAAAGATGGGCAGTTTACATATAATAGGCACATAGGCAGAACTAATCACAATTACGATAGGGGTCAGTAATATAATGTCTTTTGAAACTATGGTGAACTTACGTTCCATAGTTCACAGTGTAATTAAATGAGATTGGGATGTTGACTACAGATGCAGGTTGTACAAATATTTGTACACAGGCAGACCGGGCTAAGAAATCCAAATAAAACCCCACTGCCTCCTTCTGACATATTTCCTTGCCTGCTATTTAAATATTAATTCTCACATGTTAGTGCATGGGTGACCATCTTACATTAACATTTGCCAAACATTGTTACTACGTTACGGTTTGCTCCTTAATTGCGTAAGGGAGGTACAGCTATAGTCCACGACTGTAATCTTGAGACCTGCAAGGTATGCAGGAAGTCCGTAGAGTTAAAGGCAGACGCCATCTTTCCTCCTTCACCCCGCAAGTCTCAAGATTACAGTCGTGCACTGTAGACGTAACTGATTAACTGAATGTAACAGTGTACTTTTTGAGAAGCAAACAGTCGTTCGGCTAGTGCAAATATTACATTTTCTTATGAAATTTAGAAGTTTCTTATCTTATTTACAATAGCCCGCCATTGGTCCACATACTGAGATAAATTAATCCAGTACACACCCTCCCGACCTGAGATCTCACCCTCCTTGATTTTGTGATCCTAATATTTGATGACGAACACAAATTGTGAAGCTCCTTGTCATGTAATTATCTCTATCCTCCTATTAGATCCAAATATTCTCCTCAGAATCCTCTTATCAAAAACCTAGAATCTGTGCTAGGGACTAATTAATCCTTTGAAGCTAAAGTTCGTCTTGATAATATTTAAATATTCATTCCGTACGTAAAAGAAAACACAGAACGTAACGGTTACATACATCAGTTGGCTAATGCTGCTTAAATAAATAATCGTTGTCTGGTGTTTTTCTCGCCCTAGCGTGAGCGAAAGGGGAAAATATACAAAAACAAAATTTTGAAGCCGTAAGAAGTATAAGGAAGTCGGAATTTGTAGTTGTGGACGTTACGATCATAAATAGTTCACTGCATTGTATAACTGCCTGTTTATAACTATGTCTAGCCACTGTGTGCAGACGAAAGCATTTAAAAGAAAGTAAGTGTCACAAGTACTTTTTAAGAACCTGATATTTCTTTCTTTCTTAACTGGAGGAGACAGCTCCAGTGCTTAAAGGGAAGTGCCATTAGTTGTGCAACCAAACTTCACTCTTGCGTCTTATTTACTTATACATTACAGCCCACTCATAACGGAGTCTGTCATGCAGCTCTGCCTGGCGAGAGAAAAACAAAATTCCGAGCCAAAGGGATGATTATAATAAAGGGCTAATTATATGTATGAATTAATGTTCATACACTGTCTTATTGAGGTTTTTGTTGGTACACAAGCTCATTTAAATACACAGGAATTACGCTGAATATTTCAGTATCTCTCTGTCGCTGTAAAAAAATGAGCGTGTCTGATAATCAACTCACCCTGTCGGTAAAATTCAGAAGTATTGTGTGTTAAATACGTGGTTACTGCCGTGTTTCAGGACGGTAACTTGTCTAAAGACGAATTTAGAAGCAGCGGGTTTATTTAACTAGGTCTCTATATGTTGAACAATACAGTAAAGGTAATTATTATGAATATAATTTTAATATTTTGGTTAATAAGGTATATTGATTAAGTCGAGAAGATTGAGATGGACCGGGCATGTAGCGCGCATGGATGGGACAAGAGGTGTGCACCGGGTACTGGTTGGGAAACCTGAAGGGAAGAGACCGCTGGGGAGACCTAGACGTAGATGGGAGGATAATGTAAGGCGGGATCTATGGGAGATTGGAGTTGAAGGAGACTGGATTTTGTTGGCCCAGGACAGGGTCCGGTGGAGGGCTTTGGTTAATTCGGTGATGAACCTTCGGGTTCGGTAAGCCATCTAGTTAGTTAGTTAAGGTAGTATATTTGCGTCATATTGTGAATTAGGTTAATATTTTAATATTTTCAATTTGTAAATCGATTATCCGATGCGGAACGTGAAATGATATTTTAAATATTTTATATTTTTTATCTTATTAAAATTGTGATTTGACGGAAAATATTAAAATATTTGGTTAATAATATAATATTTTGAGTCTGGTCTCATAAATAAATAGAATTTCCAAAATCACGATTACACTCAAAGCCTGTTTATCACAGTCTTTTTTGTTGTTATGTTTTCACATTTGTCATGTTTTAGTCGAGAAATAACATTGCGGTACAAAACACGAAGGACAGACAGCGAGAGAGAGAACTTTCACTGATTACCAGCTGAAGTTGACGCGCCGGACTAGCACCGAATGTAACCTACATCTCGAGGAGGAATTTCCTTGTTTGGTTTCGTTTAGTTAACATCACTCATGGTGCACAGAGCTTTGAAATCGTACTTTTTTCAAAGCGAATTGATGAGGTGGAAACGACATGAATATCACTAAAGACAATCCTGAAATGTATGGTAAAATATCTTCGAGAAATGTGCATCAGATAACGAGGACACTTGATAACTGTGCTGACGGCACGGCACAGCTTTGCACTATGCGCGATCACTGCGTCGATTGCTGAGTTTTGTAGTCCTAGCGGCACAGCCGTCAAACATCATCACTGTAGATGAAGCATTTTAATGATTGTTATTATTATTTAGTGTTCTGTCTGACGACAGGTCCATATGAACAGGATCCTTCCATCCTTTTCTCGGACTGGGACCTGTTCATATACGTTCTTGGCAGATGATCCAGAAGTGGTTTGCCATTGCCTTCTTCTGTGTGTGAATGGAGTAATTGTTGGGATGCCACGGAGGAAAACTCCGTGTTGCCTAGACCACGGCCTTGCCCAACACAAGTTATAAATTCGGGCCCCGCCGGGAATCGAACCCGAGACATTTGTGAAGTAACCACTGAGTTAAATAAAATCACAAAGAATGTATTTTAAAAATTCGTCAAGGTTTCCACATCTAATGTTGTGTGTTAGAATGCATAGCCCCGCATACATAAACAGCATTAATCGTTATTACTTTCAACAGTAACAGCCAAGCAAATTATGTACCACCATTATGCCTCTGTTATTATAAGGAAGTGTCAAAGACTTGTTAAACCAAACACATGCTCTTATGTTATAAATGCAAGTGACATCTGTTGAGTTATTTGAAGTAGGTAACTGTAAAATGACGCAATAATTTAAAGAAGAAGCCATGATTCAGCTAAGTCATTATGCAAGTGTGATGAAAGGAGTAAAAGTTAGGTTAGGTTCACGTTATGTTGAGTGAAGACCGAGTACGTGGATGGATGGGAATGAGTGGACGAGAAAATCGATGGATGGTTAGGAAGATAAATGAATGGGACGATAGAGGTGATATTTGAGAGGTTTTCATGGCGAGGAAGATGTCATGTTTAGATTCTTGGTTGTGACTCGTAGATCAACGCTTAACATATTGTCTCCATCTTCAGGGCTGAAGAGGTTATGGAAATTTGATTGGACGTGTAGGTGGGTGGATAGGTTTCTGTGTGATCCATTCC